TTTTTTTCTCCCATGTCCCCTGCGGGGCTCCGTACTTTGCTCAGCATGTCCAGAGCATTAACTTAATACTGTTATACAAATGACTTGAACTCGATGAGGATGATGGACAGCTGTTTGTGTGGTTTCAGTGTGTGCACAATAATCTAGATTAAAAAAACAAGTTAGTAACTGCACTGATTTATGAAAAATAAACATTTCCTCTGAAAGTGGGAATGAGAAGGCAAATTTAGAGCAGCTGACATCTGCAGAAAAAAGCCACCAGGATTGTATTTTTCATATTATTAATAGTATTTACCGGTTTATTGACTTGCTTGCTCGGTGCATGGGAGACGTTCACTCTCAGGGTTTTTGTGCCACAGAGAAACATTATTACTATTAATCGTCTGTTTTATGCAAACTTTTTGAAATAATTAATTCTAAATGTAGCCAGACTCAAAGTCTCACGTCAGAACTTCATCTTTATGTAGGCCAGGAGTCTCCACCTCCAGTCCTCGAGGGCCGCTGTCCTAAAACCTTTCCATGTGTCCCGCTGCAACACACCTGAATAACATTAGTAGGTCATTAGCAAGATTATAGAACCTGACTGCATGCTGAGATGATAACCCCTAACCCTACTCATGTAAATTTAAATAAATGTAAGTATTTAGAAAAATGGACTTCTAAAAGTCTTTTAATTGCACCATGTTATTCACTGATGAGCTGCTGTAACATGAATCAAATGGCTGAACAGCCACCTCAGCATGCAGTCAGGTTCTGAGACTTGCTAATGACCTGCTAATGTTATTCAGGTGTGTTGCAGCGGGACACATGGAAAGGTTTCAGGACAGCGGCCCTCGAGGACTGGAGGTGGACCCCTGATGCAGGCTCTGCTATTTTAGCCCAGCTGTGACATCACAACATTGTGATTGGTCGGTTGGAGTAATATGATATGCACCAGATGCCCCTTCCTTTCACTCTAATGCTCAGCACTGATGTTTGCATGTCTTCTGGCTACAATGTTGCAGCTTCACTTAAGTCCATAAAAAGAACAAAGCTGTGATCTCTGAGTGAGAGATTTTTGCAAAAAATTGGAAATTCATAAAAAAGAC